TTATAGTAATCTACTCAATAAATAAGTAAATTTTACATGTATTATAGAGTATAGCAAATTTCTATTTTATTTTTTTTTTAACTGTAAATATTTTATTTTTATTTTTATTGATCTTATTTTAAGCCCGGAAACTAAGGCTATAAGCTATGGATAGGAATAGTAGAATTTTTTTGTAGGGTTGTTTATTTGTAAGGTTTGTTTTGTAGGGTTGGAAAACGTGTGTGCTATGGATTCATTCCTGAGAACCTGGATGGTCACCTATCCGAGATCTAGAAATGTCCGTGGTGCTTGACCTCAGGTTATATTAGTGACTATAAAATATATTTAAATTACAGTAATGATTATATAACTAATATTTTATATTGAAAAATAAAACAAACTACTAACTGGGAAACAGAAAAGAGGTAAATTAAATTTCATTGTTAGAGAGTTGATAAATTTTATTTGAAAATACTCGTTTAATCATTTTTATGGACTGTTATAAATGACATTGTTCTGTAATTTTGAATACTTTCAATTACAAATAAGTTTTTAAGTTTGATAATAAATGTTAGAGTTCGAAAAGGTTTAACTTTGTAATGATAGTGTTTTTTAATAATCAATATTTGTACTTTAAATTCTTATAAATCTCATGAATAATACGATAAAGTTGAAAAGACAACTTGAACTCTATAATAAATGTCTATAGTATTGTATTTTGGAATCGAAGACTTTAAAGAATAAAATTTCAAACTTTAACGTAGTTGTTGCGTTTGTTTTTGTAGGTACCCTTTCTCCTCCCTGAATATCACAGATAAAACCAAATTTCTCGTCAACTGCCGCCTCAAAAGGGTAAAATGAAAAAAAAAGAACACTTGAACAAATTAAATAGTTCAAACCTCCGCACATGCGTGCTTTCGTCTTAATTTCACTTTGACAGTGATGATTTGTTCGAAATTTTGTCGCACTGACTTTTTAAAACTTTTCTTTAATTCATTTTGAAGATAGAAAGAAACGTTTAGACGGAAAAAATAACCATTTCCATCGTCTTGTCATTCACGTTTTATTCGGTATATCATTTCGATAAACGGTAGAAAATGCTTTGAGTAATCAAATACTAATAAAAAATAACTAAAAATAACAAACTTCGAAAAGCTCAACAAAGACTTAGAATTACGTGCTTAGACTAATAAACAAGAAAAAAGTTTGTTCTAGTCTAAAAAAATAATGGATAAGTACTTTTTTTGATAGAAAAGTATTTTAATAATAATAAAAAAAAGATCATTGATTGTGTTTAGACTTACTGAAATATATATTTTAGATAAACAAACTATTGCGAATCTAAAAACTATAACGCTGATAAGTTTAATTTATATACAATTAATATAAGTACAACTATAATATGAATAAAACTGTAATTCGAAAAATTGAAATTAAGTTAATATGTATGGAAATTATGTATTTTAATAAACACGTTTTTTTAATATCATCCAACGGTTAACTTCATATTATATATTGATTATTTACATATTTTATAGTTATAACTCATAATGATGATGAATGTAGAATTTAAATAGTAATTAAAATTGTCTTATATTATATTGAAATAATCTCAATAATTTTATAATATGGTCTTAGCATAATTTTAAAAATTCCAAAAATTTGAAATTGAATAAGTTAATTAAAAAAAAAAAAAAAAAATGTAAGTAAACATGTTTGTTAGTTAATCATTCTTTGTATAACTTACTGAAAAAATGTTATTTTACTTACATTTTTTATATTTTAACTTTTGTAAAATATGGTATCAATAATTGTATGTTAACTATAGTTCAATTACTTATTTCAAATAAATGTGTTCTACAATAAACAATAAACATGTATATTTGTGCTTTTGATATTTAAGCAATTTAAAAATATTTAAAATTCTAATTTTCTTTTCATTTACTTACTTTTTACAGTAATAATTATATTAATTATAATTGGATTCAAACAAATATTTTAATAATATTAATTAGTTGAATTGAAATAATCTGTGTAAGCATCTGTTAGTGTGTAACACAAAAATGAAAACCAAAATAATAAAATTGTGTTTTTTTAGTATGAAATTAAATCATAATTTTTAGTGATCGTAATTGAACATTATTTAAATTTTATTATAAGTTTACAGTTATTAGGCTAAATCTTCGAGTAAATATTGTACTCAAGCTATGAAGTTATACAGAATGTTTATTAAATCTATTTATAAAAAAAGAAAATGATTTTAAATTTAAATTTATATGTATATAAGATATATAAAATTTAATATAATTGTGAGATGCATAAAATAGTTTAAATTATACGTTGTTTAATATTAAGAAATTTAAGTTGTAATTTCAAACAAAACATTGAAATGACATTTGTGTATTTAATAAGTATTACTTAACGAGCTATTTAACATATTATAAATTACCATGATATACTATATAGTATTAAAGCAATTACATAATTGTTGGTGGCATATAAATATTAAAAAAAATTAGCCACAACCAGATTAATATTTTATACGATTAAAAACAATTATAGCAATTGAATAATTATTCTGTTTTATCAAAAAGGGTATTTAAATGCATTTATATTTAATACAGACTAATGAGTTTTCTTTGAAAAAATCTAAAATTCACAAAAAACTAAATGTAACTTTAATGAATATTGGTTTATATGTTTATTATTTATACGATTGTACTAAATACAATAAATTAGATTCTATAGCTTAAATATTTTGCAATTTATAATTGTATAATACACAATAAACATTTGTATCATTTTTTTTTTTAGGTTTTTGTATGTAAGACACATTTAGATATTTTAGAGGAAATTTGTTTCATTGATAAATTAAAAAGTCGCGTAACCGAGGTATATATTACAATAGCTTAAAATTACCTTTAAAAGAAAATTTTCTCACGACAAGTAATTGTTACCTTATAGATAAATGTAATATTTATTATATATAAGGATATATTTTTCGAGGATAAATAACATATTATCTTTAATTAAAAGTAAAATATGATTTTTACTTTAATGGAATTCATAGTTTAAGGTTTGAAAAAATAGTACTATCTGGATCAAATTTATTCGAGCCTTAAGATTTTTAAATACGATTTTAAATAATATAATTTTACAAATAATTCATAACTTTACGTTGAAACATATTTTTGAGTACTTAAAATCAATAAAAGAACTATATCAGCATATCCAAATTGCATTCAAAAATTAGATTTTATCAAGTTTGTAATTTTACTTAGGACAGATCCAAGTTACTTTTGAAAGTTTTTTAAAAAAGGTATGGGTCGCGTTCCCAATAATAATTCAAATAATTTTGTATATTTTGTATACATAGGCTAAGAATTTTTATTTATACAAATAAGATTTACACGTATATTTTAAACACAAACGACTATATTTGAATATTATTATTTAAATAATTTCTAAAAGTAAAGTTATATGTATAAATAATAATTTTTTTTAAAACTTAAAATTATATTATTTTTATAATTAATTTATAAATTTGAAGAATAGTTTAAATGTCGCTTTATGTTGTAATTGTAAACAATTAATGTCCTACTATATTGACTATATCGCTCAGGACTCGGTGATATCTGAGATAAGGTATTGAAAAGGTTTGTGTGCCCTGTAATAAAACCTAAATGGTTCACAATTATTTATATTGACAAACAATTATTTTGTATACAACTCAGACCAATAAGGGTTAAACCATAGATTCAACTTGAACCTACAGACGATAAATCGTGAAGCAATTTGATTGTTGCGATATTTATAATATATCATTTTTTTCGATCTAATTTGGTAACAGCAAGAAAAAAATTATTTCAGTCAATAACACTCTTATATTTTTGTACAAAAATTCATAGAATATGCTTTGAAAAATGTATTATGTATCATCTAGGTTTTTAAATAAAATTCAAAGAAAAAAACGGAAAGAATATTTTAACCTATAATATTATATTAATCGTAAAAATTGGATTAATGTATTGAACTTTTACAGTTTTACTATGTGCATTTATATCTTGTATTACTTTATAAGAAAAAAATAATAGAATGTTTAAAATAGCTATTATAGTAAAATTAATTAATTTATCGTTTAAAATTTAAAGTAAAAGCGAATCGAACTAATTAACTAATTAGTTTCACTACACAATAAAACTAAAATAATTAAAAGTACAGTATAACCTAAGTAACAAATTTTTGGCATATTTATTTTTGATTATTGTTTTGGTTCTATTTTATAAAATTGTTACATTAATTCATAGATATTTAATTTAAAAATAAATTGAATATTTTTAATATTTTATACTTAATAGTACATATTGGAATATAATTTCTAAGCTACGTAAAAGATTTTTTAGATTTCCTTGTTTTAAATTGTAAGCAGAATCATTGATGGCTATTAGTTTAAAAAATAATGTAATTTTTTTTTTGTAAAATAAATTTTAACGTAGTTAAAGTGCTTTAAAAGTTTTACATGATATAACATTTCATTTAAAATCGGTTGTAGATTGCACATCAAATATCAAAGTTGTAAAGTTGTAAAGTTGTAATTGTTTTTATTTTTTTTAAAAACTCAAAACATTTTATGCTTGCAATCATTTTTATATTGCGACAATAATCATTTTTAAATTTAATAAAATTATTATAACACGATAAACATTAGTCATCACTTATAAAACCAACCATGTGAACAATACATAAAAAAAAAAAAATTATGTCAAATTATGATTTCCTGTGTAGAAAAGACTGATTTCTAAGTTATCGTGATTTTGAAAAGAAAATTAATTAATATATGATAGTACTTATTTTTATTGGCAAAATGTATTTAAAATGATCGAAGTAATCAATTTATAATATTTTAGTATTCAGAAACTGACTCAGTGTGACAAGTTTAGTATGTTCAAAAATTTGTGTTCACGATGATACAATGAGGATTGTAATATGTTACGCCAAAATTAAAAATACGATTTACTTACCTACGACAGTTAAAACCATCGCATGGCCGATTGGAGGTGTTGTGCCTACTTGACATTCGTAGTATCCACTATCTCTTATTTGAGGATACCGTATTTGTAGTGTCCAGTCTTCGTTCTGAGGTGAATGTATTGCTTGAAATCTTTGATCACTTGTATACGTGTATCGACCCACGGTTAGCAAGTGTATACCTCGATGTCGAACCCAAGATACCTAAAATAAATATTTATTGATGTTTTATTTAATACGTTCAATAAACGGGGATATAGTTATAAAATTACATTAATCAGTATTAACATTTTACTAGAGTATAACTATATAGCGAGCTGACTTGTTGGAGAAAGGTTAATATAAGTTTATCTCAACAAGTAAAGGTAGGTAGTCTAACCTAACCATAATACTATAACTCCAGACAATGTACTTATGTGCATTGTCATGTAAATTATACATATTTAAAATGTGATCAGTAAATAAATAAATATGATGTTTAATACACACACATATTATATATTATATATAACTCAGATTTTTTAAATATTATGTATGGAAAAGTTGAAAAATATAATTAACTTAGAATAAACACCTGAGAAATTTTTAGAATCAATGTTTATTTTAAAATGGAACAATGAGAGATATGATATTTGAATATACTTTATAAGCTTCTATTTTTAAATACATATAATTAAATTTGTTTGATTCAAATTATGTAAACAATAATAAAAATAAATAATAAAATGAAGTATTAAATATAGAAGCTTGAAAAAACTGTATGCCCATTATGTTATAAATTAAACTATGAATATACAATTTTTATGAAACGTATTATTAAAAAATAAAATTATCAAGGTAGGTTGTCATTTTTTTATGTAAATTACATGAATCTGATACATACGATATTTTTATATTTTCTCCAATATTAAAATAATAACTTAAATGTTCTTAATATGTTTTAATAAATATAAAATATAATTGAATATTGATAATAGTATTTTATTTTATGTTTGTATTGAGAGAAGTGATTGAAAAAAAAAATTAAAATTTATTTTTAATGAAACCATTAGTTTTTATACCTACTGGTAAAATTAAAAGATTCAAACTGTTATAGCAGTTTAATATTACATTTTATTTTGAACATTGCAATTCAAAATATTAGCTATTTTCTACAATTACACTTCAAATAAATATTGTTTAAACAAGCAAAAGAAGGAGATATGGCAACTTTTTTGGGCACGTATAAGATTATTTTAACTGGTTAAAATATCTTCAGGCAAGATGTGTAAGTATTTCTATCTTTGTATATAAGCAAGATTTAAAAATTCTCATTAAGAATTTTTTTAAAGCTTGCAGTTTGTTAAAGCTTAAACGATGTTAAAACATATGTCAAATATTAGTTTACAGACCACTAGTTATAATAAAATGTTATAAAAATATTTATTTTTGTTTAATTAAATAAATAAAAATTGTTTTATCTTAGTAAAAAAAAAAAGTTAATTGAGTGTACATTAGTAAGTTTATGTTTTCTACAATATTACCAATTTTTAATTTCATTAATTCCATTTTACAGTATATACTAGAGAACATCAAGTTTTTATATTCGACGAGATTTTCTTTCAAAAGAATAATATTATGATCAGAGAAATGCATCCTTACGACGTCTTTAAGAAATTTAATATACAGTTATGTATGAGGAATTGAAATATATTATTTTTTTTTATTTAAAAATTTGATATTATTTTCTTTTCATTTTTGAACAGGAAGTTTTGAATATCTACGCATAAAATTTTGTAAAATATTTTTTTAACTTCTATTATATGAAATAATTCAAAGATAATTTTTAAATCAAGATAGAAAAAATCAAATTAACTAAACAACGGGGAAAATGGTAAGAATAATACTAATGTAATTTTCAAATGGAACGAAGAATTAAAACTTTTCCAAAAGTTATTTTTGTCATTCATGTTATCATAGATTTTCAAGAGACATAATTAATAAAATACCTTAAACGCTTATTATTACGAATCTTTGGTTCTTGTAAACTTAATGATTCAAAGTATACTGTATTATACGAAACTCGACAACATATTATATGATTTAGGTACATTATACACATTGATACGTTTTACATTGATTCATATCATACACATAGTATGCATGAAATAGTTATTTCAACAATGGTGGTCGAGAAAAGTACAAAGTGCGCTCGCAGCTGTTGTAATGACATTAAGTCCACGATGGCTGAAAAGTGATACGTCCAAACCGACTGCTGGAGGCGGGATCGGGAAAGAGACCCTGACCCAATGATGACGATAGAAATGTATTGTTAATTATAATATTAACATTGTTATTCTATTATTTCGATTTCGTTACCCCATCATAGACGCTCGCGGTGGTTTGTAGCTGGATCTTCGAACGATAATATAATAATAATTGAACGAATACTATCTTACGGTGTAGCATGGAATTGTAGATTTCACAAGCGCCCGTTGATAGGACATCAACTACCAATTAATATTCCAGGCAACGTGGGTAAAAATTTAATATACTTAACTATAAATTATAGTGAAATGGCAAATGATAAATATATATACCATACCTACTATGCTGAGTTATTTTATGATTGTATAAATTTATATTATCTAACTTCTATATGTATTATTTATAATGTTATTAGGGATAAAGTACAATTTTGGATATTATGTCAGTATAATATCGTATAAAATCGATGTCATCTAATTTTGTGCATTTTTTCTTAACAAAAAATATAAATATATAAATGATGTAGTTGACGATTTTAGATATCGTCTGAGAGAGTAGAAATAGTGTATTTGAAAAAAGAAAGCGTGGTAAAAAATCAAGTAGGTTTAACGTACCTATATAGTGTATACTGTTGTATTACTATTATAATACTATGTGTGGTAACGTAGAAAAATATTGCAAAGTTTCGTTTACTTATTTTAAAAACGAGACTCTCTTTACCGGTAAGTATAATGCAGAGTTTCTGATCAACACCCCGAGTGTTGCTAGCATTTACCCCGAGTTTGGAAAAACGCCATAAAAATTCAATTGTTATTTTTTTTTTACTTTTGTAATTTCGTAATTGCTGCATTAAATCCTCTCGGGGTTGGCTAGCAAAAAAATAAAAGAAAGAGAAAGAGGGGGAGAGAGAGAGAAAAATAAAAAAAAAATAATAAAATAACCAGCCAACTCTCGAGGCACGTGCTGCACCATATTAAACGTCGTTGATATAATATAAGTATATATGAGTATGTCAGAACTGTGTGGTTAGCACTAGTTTGTATGTGTGCATGTACACACAGCGTATATATATATCAACATTTAACACGCGTGGTCGAAAATCCTATTGAAAGTTTCATTGGGCGGCGGCGCTAAAATCGAATGCGATAAATGCTCGAAGCCTTGTGTATATTCTATATTATTACGACAACTATTATACAAGCAAAAACCATTGCTGTCGTTGTCGTTGTAACACATTACGGCGACGGGGTTGCGGACTCAGCAGCCCCGCTGCCATATCCCCTCTGGCCGCGCAAGAGTGAGCGTATTTATTGGCAACGGGTTTTATGGCGTTTGTAAGTCTTTGGATGGGGGTATGAAAAAATGACGACGACGAGACATTAAATCTCCCTTGTACGATACTGTGTGTGTAAACTTGTATCGGCGAGCGTGTGCGCGCGCGTCTGAGCGCACGTCATGTGTGCAAGGTGTCGCGGTCGGGTCGCTAGATAAAACGGTCAACGGTTTTTTGGCAACTCACCACCGGAACCAGAGCCAATTTCCGGCGGAATCGGTGTGCGTAATGCGAGAACATCGAGAGACGTTGCCGCCGCCACCGCCGAAGTCAAACGATCATTATATTATATTCCACGACACCGTCAGCCGCACGGAGTAATAGATTTTAGACGGTTTTATAATACTATTATGACCTTCGGTGTCTTGACGTATATACGTAAATAATAATAATAATAATAATAATGTACCTTGAAAAACATTGTTTTAACCCACGTAGATTTTTCGCGTAATTTCTATTCGATTAATCGCGATTGGCCGCCCGCCAGCGATTATAGTCGTGGTTTAACTAGATGCTGCTATTTACCGGTCCTCTGCGTGTATTTCTTATCGTAGTACGTCGAAACGTATTATTATTATCATTAATAATATCATTATTAAATTTTATATGACATATTATTATTGTGTTGTTCCGTTTACATTGATTAATACTGAACAACTAAGTGTCACCCGATATTTTATTGTTTCTGTCAACGATTGTTAAACATATCTTTTGTTATTAGTGCACGCATTTAAAATGAAAAACAATCATTTAAAAATAATTAAACTACCTATAATGTAATGTGCCTAAAAAGAAAATCAAAATGTCATTTTTTATATTTTATTCATTAGTAATTATCATAAAGCATATTGTTTTTATTAAAATTCATAATATTTTCCTTTTGATTTTTAAAGATTTAAACGACTTATTTTTTTACAAATATTTTCTTAGTCATTAATATTTTTCTTTTATTAAGAATTCTTTTGTATTATGAAATAATATTTTGAAAAGAAGGTGGTCAAATACCTAATATTCAAAAAAAAAAAAAATACCTCCCACATAATTTATGAATGTATATTTTTTATTTATATTTTGTTAAGATTCGTAGCTTTTGAATTAAATATATATTTTTTCGCTGCTCATACTTGGAAAATTGTAATTTTTCCTCCGGGAATCCTGAACTACCCTCGAATCGCAACATATTTTTCTTATTCAATTGGATAGAAACGTATGAATGTAAAATATATATATATATATATAATAGAAAAAACGTAGTTTTTACACTTACATATGAAGTCTAAATTATGTATTAAGAGTTTACTAGGTCAAGTGCTGTAATTATAAAGTATATTAATTAAAAATATTGGCCAAAATAGTCTAATATTATATACAGCGCCAAAACTTAAATTCTGTCCAATATTATTTTAACTAAATAGTGAATTTATAACAAATAAACCACTTTTCTATGACTTTAAATTTTTGGTGGAAGTTTGACTCGAAACAGAAAACGTAAAACAAAACAAGATGAATATTCATCGGATTTATTCCATTTATTGCAACTTTTAAACTATCAACACAAGTCTTAGAGGATTTTAGTAGTTAGAATTTCGGCATTCACCAATATCTCAGAATGACATTATCACTA